TGGTAGATACTTTCGAAGCTATCTCGTGCCCTCTTTTTCCTCGGACTGCAAACTCTGCCAATAGTGTGGGTAGGCATCTTGCACTTAAGCGTCCGAGAGGAATTCTCAAAAGGCCGTGGGGTGAATGGGATTAGCGGACGGCTTTGAATCCGAGAGCGACCTCGAGAGGCAGAAAATAATGTATATCTCGGCCTAATTAAGCATATTAATGATAGTCAGATTCAACACTCACTCAGCCAACGAAGCCTCGGCAGAGATTGCCGGACGCAGAGAATATCCTCCATAGAGAGGGCCAGCCGATCGCGCGCAGTGGTTTCGCGGTCCCGCGTAGCCCTCCCGCGTATACATAAGCGGCGCGAGCGCAAAGAAAGTCGGGATTCGCTCACCCAAACCAGGCGCGAATGTAGCACGACCGCGACCACAGCTCTTACTTCGATACTTTGGACGTACCAACATTAAACCTTCATTCTCTAGCGAGCTTTCGAACGCATGGAAGTATAACCTGCCTTTTCCTTTATGCCATATGCTCTTGCTACGCATACAAACGATCAGAATCTATAAGCTATCGAAGTAACGTAAGCAAACCGTCGTTCCCACGTACAATAGCTTCACATAGGCCTAATGTCAGAGTGCGATACCAAAGATAGTAAACAACCTCCCACCGACTCATTCCAACTCACTTGATATGACAATATTTGCTTAACCGAAACTGTATAGTTTCGCAATCTGACAGGTAATTCCAAGAATGTGTTACAATGTCATTTCACAGTGACGGTCAATGTCTAATTATCAGCTAAGAAGACATCATTTGCAATGGTCAAGCTAGCTGTCTCTGTCCTTTCCCCTGTACTACTATTTTCCTACTCACCAAAAACTGTCTCGGACCGGCTGGAAAGAAACAATCTTTTAAGTGCAACAATATAAAACATGACGTAATGGCCGGCTGGCCACGCACAGGTCTCCGATAGCATTTCTTATTGTCTGGGTACTATCCTGACTAAAATATGTTGGCGAGTTAGCACTGCAAGAGCCCATGTATTACAGACAGAAAACATTGCGTCTGTAAGCTTCATATATATATAAAAATATAAATAATGTCTAATTTTGAACTTCATACATTTGTTGACAAACATTTGTGCGTAAGACAGCAAGAATCATAGGTGAATTAAAAAAAGTTGATCTTCATGTTGACACGGTAAAGAAAATTCAACTTGCGCTACTAATAAAAATAATACACAGCTATCTGGAAGGCGGATATCTGCGGAGCCTACCCGAGAAACCAAATATTCCTCAAGAGCCGAGTCTACGGAGCTAGCTCATTAGCAGCTGAGAGACAGTATCTTGTTTCCAATGGGTGACCATCCAATCTACCTTCATGCACATCCATTAGTATCATCATATACTGCAAAAAACATAACAATATTGAAGAAAACAACCATTAATGTTAAATTAATTTCATATTTAATTCTTTAAAAGGAGATAAACATAAATCTTCCTTGTGCACATTCCGACAAGCTATCTTCATGTACCTCGTAGAGCGCGTGACATATGATCTAATATCACAGCTAGTTAACATCTGCGATAAAACCATCTGGAGCGCGAGAGAGGAAAACAGCATGGCCTTATATAACTGAGTACCATAATTGGTCTATTATTATTAAGCATTAAACCATTCTTACTCAAAAGGTAAACCCGAAACACAATAAACTAAAAAAAACTGGCCACATTGAACAAGTAAGTCCTAGTTCACTCTCAAGCTTAGAACATAGGAGAAGCATCCTAAATGAAAAACTGGCACTGCTCAGTTCATACTGAATCACTAAATGGAACAAGTCCAAGCGAATCCAAAGTTCAAACTTGTTTTTTCAACATGCAACGATTAAAGCCGCACTATGCGCATCCAAACGCTAATTTCTCCAGTACTAGACTAGCAAATACTTTGTGTCTTGCATAATCACACTACCTTATGGCAAAATAAATTCTAGTTCCTCCCATTTCAGTGCGCGTTTGCTTAAAACCCACAAGAAAGAGGTGCGTAATCTGGTAATCTGGCGCCAGTTGACGCTAAATTGTTTGCCAAACAATTTCGCCAAGAATCGGTTAGGTGACGTCACGTTTTTATCTTTGCTACACCCGTACCGCTGTACCACAGCACCGCTCCACGGTTGCTTGGTTGCTTGGCAGAGCAACGCGAAAGTGTCAACAACATCAGAGAATTTGAACAACATTGGAGTTATTTTTAAATGCCTTTTATAAGACAACGCGCAGTGAAATGGGAGGAACTAGAGTTTATTTTGTCATAAGGTAGTGTGATTATGCATGACACGAAGTATTTGCTAGTCTATAGTACTGGAGAAATCAGCGTTTGGATGAGCATATAGTGCGGCTTTAAGGAACGGATTCATGCGCAACGAAATTGTTACCTGTCTCCGACTCTCTATGATTTCTTAACAGAGTTCGTGCCAGCTCATTATCTGTTACCATAGGTATACATTTTATATGACTACAATGACAATTACTACTAATTATGAAGCAATACATTTTCAATAAAGATATATATTGTATGTGTAGCCAATACTTGACAGTGATTTGACTACTGCATGACCTCCTGCTTCAAGCCTCTCCACAGTTGGCACATCTACGGTTACGTCTGTTTCCATCCCATCTTCATCACGAAGAGTAACAGTTTGCCAATAACTAAAAATGTGACTAGACTTTAGTCCTTTAGTAGTAATAGTAGTAGTAAAGGCCAAGACACACTGCAGCAACAGGGACCGACCGTAACAACAAACAACTTTTCAGAAAATTAGAAACTATTGTTTCCTATGAGCTAGCCATTGCACACACACACGACAACGACCAGCGACAACCTCAACGACAAAAATATTTAGGATCGTTTCTAATTTCCGGCGAGTGTCACGTGACACTTTACAAATAGCCAATCACAGCTGTTACCATCAGCACTTGAGATTTTCATTACGTCATAACATTATGCTAGCCAGGAAGTAGACTAGACTGGTCCCCGGTGCTAACTAATTCGTAGGGGTCCGTACGAATATCAACAGCCTAGTTTTAATTGCTATGGTTATGCCTTAGCTCCAAGCAACGGTCGGTGAGGTGTACATTCGCTTACAGTCTCGCCTGGCTATGCATATGATATTGTACTACCTGTGTAGTGTACTACTACTGCTCATAGGGTCTATGTCCCCCAGGGTACTGCCAGAACGTACCCTGGGTACGGTCCGGTATACCGGAACGTACCCTGGTCACTACACGATATGGTTAGGGTTAGGAAATTAGGGTTAGAGTTAGGGTTAGGGTTCGGGTTAGGGTTAGAGAGTATGCGTAGGCGACTCCCTAGACTCGTTTGTGGAGTAGCTAGGCGAGGTACGGTCCGGCATATTAGATAGTATACCAGCTAGGGTACGTTCCGGTATACCGGCCCGTACCCAGGGTACGTTCCGGCAGTACCCCGGGGACATAGACCCTCTCAGCCCTACTACTAGTACTACTAGCAGTATATAGTACCACTATTAGTATTACTACTACTAGTACTACTAGCAGTAGTACCACTACTAACTGTTACACAGTTAGCTCTAGTACTATAGCCCGCGTAGGTCTACAGTTGCCTGCGGCAACTGTACGCGGGCTACAGTACGAGAGCTATTACAGTATTAGTATTACACAGTAGCCGAGTAGGCCCTAGATAGAGCACAGTAGGCCTAGTACTCGACATACAACAACAAAAATATCTGGGTGCCACACGCATAACATAATATAGTGATAATTATGACTATCAAGTATGGGAATATCGTTAAAAAGCATAATAATCAAATAAGTTATCCTAAATCCATCACAGACCTTCTGTAGCGGTTTTAGCTCTTTTGCGACTGACCCGTGACCGTGTCTTTACCGCATTCGTCAGTTATGTCTAGGGGTGTAAAATGTGTCACCGCCGCGTGTAAAACCCGCCTACAAATTAGATCGATATTGCTATAATTTATATATGTGCCGTGGTGTCAATGCGGAGATAGAGAACGAAACTAGATAGTAGAAACATTTAGTTATAGGTAACGTAAGATATATATCTTTAATTTAGCATGTAAACAACGTACAAGGAATCACACTATTTACAACAGTTCACTCTATAGTTCTATAACAGTTCATACAAACAGTTTACTTACTATATGTAAGATAACTGGAAAACGTTAAAGTTATGTTTATGCTTTGTACGCCCAAGAGGTGGCGCCACTAGTCGAGAAGAAGAGAACTATGGCGGGACTCTAGACA